ATTAACTGCACTATACTGAATTTCTATTAAGAGCATAATCTATCAAGTGAATTATAGTTTCACAAAGAAACCAACAAGCTCACAAATGATGAAATTATTATAGCACCATACAGTAACAAAAGCTATCCCCAACTTGAATGAGAAGTCAAATTAAACAGGAGAAAAATGTTAAGAGATTGGAGACAAAGGCAAACCTGATGTACAACTGCTGTGCTGAACCCCAAATCATTGAGCACAATAGACAGCATCTCTTTTATTTCTGGCATACATCGAGTAAATTAACTTTCTTCACCAGAAAACAGAATCAGCCTTATGAAACATAACATACACTTTGCAGTATAAGACAGTGGACAAAGTAATAAAAACAGAAAAGAAAGCAAACATATGATAGAGACATTGAACGGCTGTGAGCTGTGACTAATTATGAATTTAACAATTTAAATGTTCCTTAACTACATGGATGATGGAAATTTAAATTTAAATCATTAGAAAAGGAGATCAGACAAATTGATGAGTGATGACAAACAACAATAGGATGAAGATTCACAAACTGGACAAAGGATAACGTAGGATACACCATCGCGACACAAATAAAAATGTACCACCTGACAAAAGATAATGTCCACAGATATCGCAAAGCCAATAAATCAAATCAGACGACAACCACATAGTATGTGAATATGTGCTTCAGGAAAGAATCTATTTGAGAGCTACATGTTTATCCGAACTGTATTGCTAAGAAACTTTGTTATGTGGTTAACACTTGACAATCATGTCGACTGGGAGAAAAGGTTGCTAGGATGTTGAACTGAAAGAAAACCAATACCACATTAGCTTAAGAAACATTCAAATACAAACAGAACACACCATGTAACACAAACCAAATCAGACGATAAAAAGATCACTCACATAAACAATGGTGGTGTCTGCATTTTTCTTCATCTGTTGTTAACTCTCTTAAATTAACATGTAATAGATGTCTAGTAAAGCAATTCACTAAGCAATAGCATCACACATGACAGTATTCTATGGAATGGCAAGTGATATCAGGTCACACACGAACCCAAGAAAGAAATCTATTATGAGAAGAAAGTGGATAAACCTTTTGTATATTTTGCATACCAAGTTTGTACCAAGACATATAGATGTACTTCATAAACGGGTGAACCCACCTTGCACCCTAAAATTCTATTGTATGAAGGGAGAAATACCTCGGTTGTCAAATGTCTCCCCAAGAACAAGAATTGCAGAATATAGACCTCTGTCTCTTGGGTTGATATGCAACTTTTCTGTCAGTACCCAGTTCCAAATAGTGCGTAAATCTTCTAAAACCTGCAAATAATGTTTATAAAAGAAAATCTAGAAATATGACACATATACAAGAATGACAGGGCATAGTGTATGATGACCAATTCAAAAGGATATATACTTTCCTCCAACCCTTTTTGGAGAAACATACATTTGTTGCAAGCATCCAGCTTAGGCCTTTCTAAAACGAAAACCTTTACTGTTTTGCAGCCCAGAGTTCTATCCATTGTCTCAAAAATAATTACTTTTAAAGCCAAAACACTCCTACTCAACCATTATAGAACTACCAAAAGAAACCTTGGCAAATGAACTGAAATACTCCATGATTACACGGGCTGTGTTATCAAGTACATATACAAGAGAAGCATACCACAGTTGAACTATCTTTAAAAAAATAAGCATGCATTAATCTGGTTTCCTACCTGATGCAGTGAATAATTATGAGACACATTAAAATGGCCTCTCCTAATAGGACGACTCAGACAGTATGACTCTGAAGGAGGAATTTTCAGAGCATCTTCTCCAAATATCATTTCTTTATACTTATTCTCTTTAAAGTCATGTCCATTATCATCACTAGATGTGCTTGGCGGAGTATCTTCCTCAGCATCCTTGAATACTGACCTATCTGACCAATTCGAAGGGTTAGGAAAAACAATTATAAGAAATTACTATGTAGAATTTCCTCTTAACAAAGAATTGAACATAACTGGGTAACTGTAATGACAAAAAACAGCAGCTACAAAATTATCCTTGAAATTAACTCCAGCTGTTTCATATGGGTCAGTCAGGTCATCACTAACTGGGTAGGTTTTAAAACAGAAGTCATAATAAGAAATCACAATGTCCATCTCTATAATACAATGAAACGCAGCTCTCCTGCGTTTAAAAAACACACACACACACACAATGTCCAAAAATATAAACCATATCATACGGCACTGCTGTAGAACTTCCAAAAGTAAACTAATCCATAAGTGCAGTACCCTAAACATAAAAATATATAGTTTAACTTTAGTTAACAACTGCAACTCTGAAGTGAAAAAGGAAAAAAGGTAAGCACCACTTCAATGAATGAAGTGAAATGATCAGAAAGTACCAATTGATGTGGATGGCTTAATAATTCTCTCTGTCACATCTGTCCAAGTTAATTTAATATCGCCTCTGTTTTGCTGCGAAGAAAAGCCATCAACACGTCCCATCTGAAGAGGTCAACATAACCATATCAGCAAGCAGAGATTATGTTGCAACATTTCTTAAACAAACAAAACAAAACTGAATTTTGTGATGCTGAACTATCTAATATATAAAACATCAATCAGTCTTAAATATTTGAAGCTATGTTCCATGATTGGAACAATAAGTTCCACAGACAGATAATTTAGAACTATTTTTATGCTTTTAAAAGAGCTGAAAAAACATTGAGTCATCCATGGACATGTTAGAACCTTCAACTGCAACTGCATGCTCTGATGCTAATAGACTGCATTATAGTTCTCTGTTCAACACTTCATTTTAAGGACATCTCTTCATATCTGACAATCTCATTTATATCTTTGATTGATAGCTATAAAGGACATTCATGAAAAAGCTCAGATAACTTATGTGCTCGCTTGGAGACACTATATTTCATAAATAAGAAGATTTGTTATAATCACTGAATAACACCTGATTGAACAATTGCCATAAAACAATTATATTATATGACATTGGTTTTCTGAAGTTGGGCACTCCATGCTACAATGATGGTTAGCAGCATGTCAAGTGGTTAAGGTTGAAACAAAAGACTGATGGGAATAGAGAAAAATGGTAACAGTGGCACAGCCCCAAAATGACAGTTTATGTTCTGTAAATGTGTGTTTCCTGATAGATAACAAGTGAGAACACATGGATTTGCATTTACATCCAAACCATCTCAAACTGTCATAATGTGCTATACCTCTCTGAGAGACTTATCAAATTGGCTAAAAATGAACAACATATCTGGAGATCTAAGCATCATGTGGCAACTAAGACAATACAGATGAAAGCAGGAGGAAACCACATAAGTTGTGGGAGCCACTGTAAGAACATAGGTAGTGGTAGAGTTCTTGGCAACTGCAACAAGGTGGTCAATGATAGTAATGGAAGTGGTAGCCAAAGTTGAAAGACTAAAATGTAAATTGATCCTACCGATAAACATCATCCAGGACTGGTGGTACCATACATATGGTTAACAGAAGAGGACTGCAAAACAGCAGCGAAATGCTGGCAGAAATATCTAGGGTTCAGCCCAAGAAATGGCAAATCAAAGAACATTTTATTTCGACCCAGAAAAATGAGAAAAGGAATGAGATAATTGCTTCGTACTGGATCATTTCTAGATCAATGGTTGGGCTAGTACGGGCACCCTCAACAACAGAGTCAACTTGCTAGCTCATGAATTTTTTTAAAAAAAAGGTAAAAAAGAGTAACCTAACATGCTATATAGAAAAGTGTGCAAGCGTAGACACGTGAATGATGAATCATAGAAAAGTATGTGAGCTTAGCTCTTCATGGAGAGCTACCTTATCATTCTCTCTCCTTATTCAATAAAATATTCTATGAGCTAGCCCTTTTAACACTGTTGGAGCTGCCCAGATACTTGACAATTTATGAGTGGCATTCGGGGCCCACAAAGGACAGGCATGGTAAATGGCAGGCTGCAAACAGGAGGTAATAATGATGGAATGGGTTGCCAACCTTTTAAAATCAATGGCAAAAAGAAATTAAAATGACTATTTAGTGGATGACCATACAGGGGTTCTCTTTACAAATAAACTAGCATATACTGTATAAACCCTTAAACTTATCTAGGTATCGTTCAACTTATAAGCAATCTAGAACCTACAAGGCTACAAGCCCATATGTATGATAAGCAACTCCTGGTGGCATCCGTTGCACCATAAGGGACTGGCCTTATTATTATGACATGAGCTGATGGGGCTAAGAACCCAGGTTAACACGGTAAATTTCTTAAAATAGACCAAACAAGTCCAAGGCTTCATCCTCCCTGCCCATTTACTGTGTAAATACAATTTTGTAACTCCCTAAGAAGACTAAGAACTTCAAGGAGGCAAACCCTACCTCCAGGTGCCATTTTCTACTTACTTCATAACATGAAAGGTAAGTGTGACTGTGTGAGTAACATGAAAAAAGGTACAGGCTTTGGGGGTAAAGGCACATGATCACAAATCTCAATGCCCAGTACCTTTGGAGGAAGGGGTTGGTTCGGTGAAGGCATTTCTTCATCATCCAAAAATGGGATTTTCATCAGTGCTGCAATCTGTACGTGTAACAACTCATTAGCTACAGAGCCAAACCTAGTCCAAAAGAAAAAAAAAAGTTTGGAATATTTTTCTTTTACAATATCATATGCACTCTCCCGCTCCGCATTCTGCGATGAAGTAGCATGGCAGTTGAGCATCTGCATACAAGCATAACTCTTGTTTACTAAAAAAAAAAGATAAATTAAAATTGCAATGCATAACACTATGGAGGGGACCTGCATACAAGCAAACTCAGATTTGCATCACCTGATCGCAAGACAGAGAATCTTGGTTCTTCGCCTCTTGTGGATTGATGCGTCGGGCAATGCAATGTGGTATATTGAATGGCACATCCTGACTAGCAAACCCCATTCGCACATTTCCAGATCCTATAAAAGATGTGCATTTAAATGACTAGCAACCATGAATTACATCATACAGGGGAAACATACTAATGTATTGCTAGATTTTCCTTTCAGTTGTAAGCAACAACAGCATCCCACTGCCAGCAGGGTAAGTTAAATGTCAGGTAATATGCTTCTCTTAAAAGTTCACTTCAGTACTACAACATTAAGGCATTCATTTTAACCAGGCGCGGATAAAACAATGCAAAATTCCCATTTCAACCATCAAAAGTAACTTAAGGTTAAGAAATTCCGAGCACATTGGAACCCAGAAAAAAAACTTGACCAAGGACATGAGAGCGCTTAGGGTTTCTGCAGGGCCGAACCTGGGTTGATGACGACAAGGTTGGAGCCGCGCTCGGCCATGAGCTGTGACGGAACCACCGTCTTGAGGTAGTCCTGCGGATAATCAAATTTCAATCGCCGCTGGCTAGGGTTTCTCCGGGGTTTATGGGGCAGGAGGAGCAAACCAGATGCGGTGGGACGGAGGAGGATAAGGAAGGGAGGAGGGACGTTGGCGCTTACCATCTCGGCGGCGGCGGCTACCGCGGCGGAGCGGGCGCCGGGGTTTGAAACGAAGACACTGTTCCTCTTCTTCCACTAGGTGCGGCCGTGCCCCGTGCGGGTTTGCCTGCCCACGTTTTGGGTTGCATTTCCTATGAGTGCGTGTTTTGAAAACGTATGAACACTGATTTTTTTTTCCCGCAATCCAAACAGACCCCGAGTCCGTGTGGGGATCCTGGGCCACCCGACCCGACCCATCTCAAACGTGTCGGACTTTCGATTTGTGCCCTGTTCACCATGGCTGATAAACCTCCGTATTTGCGGCTGGCCATTCCTAAGACTAGGCAGATTTTCATCGAAAACCACAAACCGAACCTATAATCACTATGTTTAAGTAGTGTATAAACTACGAATTAAAAAACTAAAAAACCTTAATTTAAAATAAAGGTAATAGAACATAATAATTATATACACAGGGTATGGGTAGGCAGCAATATGAAAAACTAGTTAAAAATGCAACCGTTAAAACTTCTAGAGCACTTTGAATCTTTGACTCACCAATATAAAAGTGTCATTTGAACAAATTAAGCCACATCACCTTATTAATTGAAGGGGATATACAATTGTCATTTGTACAAGTTAATCCTAACTTTACCTTATCAATTGAAGGGGTTGTGACACCTATTGGGGTTGAATTAAATCGTTTAAAAACTAAGGCCTCAAAACCACTTATAAAAACCTACACAAGTTCTATCCAGATATGCATTAGGTGAAATCCAATACGTTGAGAACACAAGTTCTGTCATGTGGGCCCGCCATTGCTTGGAAGTCTTATTTATCAAGTGGTTCCTCCGATGCCCCACCTTACAAATCCAATGCGTTGTTCAAAGGACTGAAATATAATGTGCGTTGTTCGGAGGACTGGAACCTCTCTAGACCGCACCTATACTCTTCGTGCATTCTTGGATGCATCACCAGAGAGCTCTAATGCTCCCCTTCTCATCTCCACCGTCCATGCAACATCTCTGTACTTAATCTCCAATGTCCCACTGCCTTGGACCGACCTACCGAATTCACCGGTTCTTTGAGCACTCCGGTGCCCCTCTCCGATGCTGCTTAAGTGTATTTCTTCATGTCCAATCGTGGGCACCAGGTTTTCAATGCTCCTCTTTAATCTTCATTTAAGGCGTTGGTTCATAAATTTTCATCGTAGCCCCTAGCTCAAGTACATCTTTGCATCCTAAAGGCTAGTACAATGTATACTAGTAAACATAAACATTGTTAGTACTAATGGTTATATTGTCATTCAACCATCAAAATCAATAAACCCTTACTAGGGTTTTTGTTTCTTAAATCAATTACACACCTTCATCCTAAAATATAAGCAATTTCAGTTATTCTAAGTCAAAATATCCTAAGTTGATCAAATTTATAAAAACAAAGAATTAGCATCCATTAAATCGACGATGTACATATGAAAATACTTGCCATAATATATTTAATTTAATGAGGCTCACTTGATATTATAAAATATTGTTGTTATTTTTTTCAAACTTAGTATGGTTAGAACAACTCCAAAAAAAAACGTTTTATTTCATTTGAGGTAGGAAGAAGTAGGCCTGGGCATTCAGTTCTCGGTTCGGTTCCTCGGTTTTTGAAAGAATTCAGTTCTTAGAAAATAGGAACTGATCGGTTCTCAAAAATTCTGGGAACCGACCATTTCAATTTTCGATTATTTCGGTTTGGTTTCGGTTCTAACCGAACTTTTTCAAGAGAGACTAAGACAATGATAAATATGCATGTTCTAAAGTAAATTTATGCAACACTATATACATTTTAGATAATAATAATTCATAAGTGAACAATAATGATATAGTAATACAAATATATAATAGTTCAAATATGAAATATCACACATAAACTAAATATAATCTCACAAAATACAAGTAAGTGAAGTATAATTAATATAATTCGATTCTGTCGGTTAATTCGGTTAACCGAGAATAGAAACTGAATTTGTTTCGGTTATTTCGGTTCCTTAATATTAGGAACCGAATAAGGAACCAAATTTTTCGGTTCCGGTTCTTTCGGTTCGGTTTTTCAGTTTCAGCTAATTTTGCCCAGGCTTAGGAAGAAGTATGCGCCTAAGGCGAGGATGAGCAATTCTGAAGTTACAACACCGTGCACGCACAGAAAAGAGACAATGTGACTTACCATTTTTCACTGTCAAAGCAGTTCTTGTAGCAAAATGGAACATGACATAAGAACACATCACAACATACGAAAATAGAATTGTGCAAGATAACTTAAATATCCTACATGCTAAGTCCTGTAAGTCCCAATTCACAATTCAATTGGCGCACCAAGAACAAAAGTGGGACATCTACTCCTGTATAGTATGCAAACATAATGAGCTCAATTGCTTCCCCTCCTACAATCACTGACATCAGTTTGTCTTGGTTTTTGTTGTCCTTCCCTTGGAGCGCCTTCTTGGAATCGAGTTCTTCATCCCCAGGAAGAAAAGCAGGGCACCGATAAACGCCAAGTTCTGAAAGGATATGAAGTGCAGAGCTTGTCACGATTAATAGTAACTGAGGGAATGTTTTCCAATTAAATCTTTTGTCAGTAAGGCAGCATGGTAGCAGGCTAACAAACCTGAGTGAACTTGAAAAAAAGCTGGACAAACTGCGCTGACTCCATTTCATAGTTGTAGAAGTCATACATGATAGGGGTTATAAACGCCAAGTAAATGAGCTGTGCAGATGAGTAACATCAAAGAATCAGAAATAACAACAAATCTACCATGAACCTGTGCAGCTGTGCTATACAGAAATATGATGCAAAGATGTATCTATGAGAATCCAAACTTGATCCCATATAACTATATAATACAGGTTTATAATGGAGCAGAATGTTGGCCTACAAAGATTCGACATGTTCAACAGCTGAGTGTGGCAGAAATGCGTATGTTGCGATGGAGGATTTGCGATCACACAAGAATGGACCGAGTTCGGAACGATGATATACGTGATCGCCTTGGGGTAGCATCAATTGAAGAAAAGCTTGTCCAACATCGGTTAAGGTGGTTTGGCCATGTCCAAAGGAGACCTTCAGAGGCACCAGTGCATTGTGGAGTCCTAAGCCAAGCTAATAATGTGAGGAGAGGTAGAGGAAGACCGAAATTGACATGGGGGGAGGCAATAAAAAGAGATTTAAAAGCTTGGGATATACCTAGACATCTATGTTTGAATAGGAGGGCTTGGAAAGCAGCTATTGAAGTGCCTGAACCGTGACTAGGGGCTCTTGGTGGGTTTCAACTCTAGCCTATCCCAACTTGCTTGGAATGAGAGGCTATGTTGTTGTTGTTGTTGTTGTAATGGAGCGAATCACACCCCTCAAAAATCACATATGGGCCCTGCCAAATGGATCAACTATTGTGACAACATGTCACAGTATATCATGAACATTCTATTTGAGCCTTCCATTTCTACTCCCTCCATTGAAATTTGTAACACATGTTTTATATTAGGAATCAAACTTTGTATATACTGACCAACAATTAGTCTACTTATAAAAATTATAGACGAATTTGTATTCCAAAAGTGCTTTTACACTATTACATTTTGTAACTATTATTAAGTAATACATGTTGTGAAAAAAAAACAATGGTCAAAGTCTAAAATCGATGACTGCGCCAAAACAAAATATTTATTCATGGTTGAGGGAGTAGATGCTAAAACCTTGCTAGACTAGGGACCTGCAAAAGTAAATGTATAATGCAGCAAGCCTAAAATGCAGAGTGGTAGACATAAATGATGTTCAAATTACCATATAGTTTTAATCTTTGAGAAGACATGCTACAAGAAATCTTGACATCTAGATGGTACTCAATTAGTCAATTACACATGACAGTATCTTTAGTGCCCATTTTTTTTTGCAATTACCTCTATAAGCTATTTAATCTTTAACACAAGACATTAGGCATGGTGCAAGCAGAGAAAACAATACTTAGTTGCTCACCAGGAGGAATGCTCCAAATGAGCTACTGAATATGAACAGAAGACCACCAAAGCCTTTAAGAAACATGGCAGCAGCAATGACAGTTTTTATCTGCAACAAAAAAAAAAGTAAATATCAAACTGGGTTGGAATAGATTCTAAAACAGAATGGGATTAAACCAAACATCATTCCTACATCAATATGCGGCACCCCCAATCCGGTATTCTTGGACACTAGCTTGACGAAGAGATTGAACTTTGGCTTCAAGGTCTTCGCTGCAGGTCCACCGTCATTTCCAAATTCAATGAACCTAAATATATGACCGGAAAGCATTATTTCAACGTTCTCAACAATAAAATGGTGCATCAAAAGAACGAAATAATTGTGCAACAACTGAAAGAGAGAATTTCGAAAGCATCTTAGGGATTGGAGAACATACGGCGCGCATAACTTTGGCACTAAAGATCATTGGTGAAGACCCAAGAGTTGTGTAGGTCAAAAATGAAAACTGAAAATGCACACTGAGCCTTGACGATCAAAAGATTATGGGGCTAATTAAGGGTAAGCTGCAAAGAAATCTCACTACTTCATCAATGGTAATATGCATTTTTTTTTGGCAGACAAACATAAGGAAAATGAGCAATATAATACTAACAACAGAATTTCTCTTTAACTCAGCCATGTATCAGTTTTTAGTTAGCAAGCCATAACTTCAGTACTTCAAATATCTGACTGGCCACCAAGAAACAACACTAGCAGTTAGCAGAGTGATAAGTTTATAGGGATACATCAGTTTTACAAAAAGAAAAAAAGGATCTTCATCAAAAGTACAAGCCAAACGTGCCATAAAAGCCAGCACTGCTCACCTGTTCTTAATGCATAACTCGTTCTATTTTTGAAGGAGAGAATGCATAACGCATTAATGAAAAGACCATAACCATGGACCCGAAGGGATCACGTTGTTATTGAATAGGATGAAATGACCAGAGCGAAGCTAATTCAAATATTGATACAATTCTATCCCCGGGGAATCATCTCCAACTGAGTGCAGAAACTTTTTCACTTATATACACAGGCTGCACCTACGACTAACGGCAACTCGCATCATTTTGGTACATGGAGTACATAAGATGCAGGGGGTAAGCGGAAATTAGCTAAGGGTGCGAATGTGCGATGCACTGATATAGTAGAGCAGAGAGATCTAGTGCAGTACAAGTCTTTCCGTGCGCCGTGCGCGCAGCATCTGGTATGATCCAATCCCGTCCCTCTCTAACACTCCTCTCCTTCCTCGGCTCACAGGCTCACCGCGGGGGTAAAAATCCGGGTACCTTAACTGACCCTCGGATCTACCGCAGCAAGATCCAAAAACGCACCGCACCCGCACAGGCCGGATCTCAGCTCGCGTCACCGCACCGGAGAGGAAGCATTTCGATTGAACCCGCCCGAACCCGAGCCACCAGGGCCAGATCGGGACGGAAGCGACCGACGGAGAGGCGGTAAAGCGGCACTAGGAGCGGCCTCGATTTGGCGACGAGCGGAGGGTACTAAGACGAGACGGGATCTGAGGGATGGGCGAGGAAGGCGTGGAAGAGGGAGGGGGGGCGTACTCTTGGTAGGCGGAGAGGAGGAAGAGGGAGGCGAAGAGCACCCGGCCGACGAACGAGATGAAGCCCATGGTCGTGGTCGCGCTTCTCCTCCTCTGGAAGATGACGGGTCTTGGGGGGGGGAGGCAGCTGCCGAGGAAGGAGGGGGAGACGCAGACCGCAGACTGGGGAGTTTTGTCCGAATCCGGATGGCTGGCCAGCTGGGGTCTGGTCGAATTCGGGTTGGGTGATTGGGTCTTGGGGAGCGACCAGATATGCGTTCTGAGACCGGCTCATACATGGCAAACAAGCCTATAGCCATGCAGCCGACTCATTCTTCAGGATTGGCTCACCCTATACTTCAGGATTGGCTCACCCTATACTTCAGGATTGGCTCACCCTATACGACACCACAAGTCTATGGAGAGCACCGTCGATTATACATCCCTAAAATGGCTAGGTCCAAATACAGCTTCTCCACTCGGAAGCATCGTTATTCTACATACAAAGCCAATTACATGAGTCCAAGCGACTTAGTTCTCTAACGATCAACAGAAGCCTTTTCATTGATATTGCTTATATTACATGATACCTATTTACATGTTACATGAACCAGCAAGTTTAAACGAATACCAAGTGACCAACAAAGGAGGTAGCGACTTGATCCACCTCCTCTTCTGCCTCTGTCGTCACCGCTTGTCATCAGAGCCGGTTGGTGGTCCCGCCGCCATTGGGGCTAAGTCGGTACCGGGTGTAACACGCGAATGCCTCCGAGTACCCGCTTGATGCAGCTCTTCGCCATGTTGCGTATATACGCATCCACGCGGGCGGGCACTTCCTTGACAAGATCTACGATTGGATGTCCTACCTCTCCATCTTCCGCCCAAAGGGCTTACACAACAGCTTTATAGCTTCACAGAGCTCATGTCACTCCGCCCTGCACAAAGAGTTCGCCCGCTGATGCAGTGGTTCAAGCCGTCTGCATTGCCTCCTCAAGCTCATGCTTGGCTTATTCGATTACCTCCTCAAGCTCCGCCTCCTTGCAGGTATATATCGATTCTGCCGACCAACGACTTCGCTTTGAAGTCGGTAGAACTTAACGGTTTCATCTACGTAATTAAGAGCGTCGATCGGCATTCGAGATAATTTAAAAATTCAAAGACGGCCAAATCCAACAATCAAAAGGAACCGTAAGAACTCACCCTTCAACTTCTTGTTGAGCACATCCGCGCTCTTTTTGGAGGAGGATTCTCGAGTCTCGGCGGCTTCTGCTCTATCCTGCAAGGCCTTCTTTTCCTGCTCGAGTTCCTCGATCTTGGCAAGGAAGACCTTCACAGCCTCCACGTGCTGCGCCTGAGCCATCTTCATTTTGATGACTTCGGTAGACAACTCTGCATGTATACGTTTAGCCTGCTCGGAGGCTTTCAATTCTAAGTCCTGCATACAAGACTACTAACTAGTTAGATATATTACTCAGAAAGCAAACAGACTGGAAGTAGACTGCGACATACAGATTCTTACCTTCAGGATGATATCGAATTCAGAAGATTTCTTGACCAACTCGGTCCACATTGTTTTGACCCGAGTAAGGTCTGCGATGTAAGTCTGCAATGGAGGGTCGTTCTTCATGGTACTCAACATTTGGCTTGTGGAAGCCAGCTGAGTATCGGGCCTCGCCACCTGCTCCACTAGGATCTCGGGACCGCCTTGGCTAGCTCTGCCACTCACCATCTCCGCCACTTGGGTCTCTTCATGACTGCCGGGCGGCAAGAGGTCCTCTTCGACCACTGTCGTCCCACCTTGACCACCTGGCGGAGCCTGTGGGGTCAGTTGCGGGGCCGCGATCACATCGGGATTTTTCCCAACGATGCTAGCGTCTTCCTGGGATGGTGGTGTAGGCGCGCGCGGAGGATCTTGCCGCGTCCTAAAAAAATAGAAGCTGAGTTCAGTTAGTACTGAATCGACGGAAGCCTGACGATGTATTACTAGTAACGTCGGGAGACTTACTCTTCCACGTTCTTCTTCTTGAAGCCGGGTAACTTTATTCTTTTATGGGAGGTATCGAGGACGAACACGGTGTCCTCCACCTCCACATCAGCCTGGGAAGGCTCTGATGACACCACAAAAGATCACTTAGTGTCAGAAGAGTTACAAATACTGCAAATTGAAATCAAGGAATAATTGAATGCTGAAATACCTCTCTCTTGGGCGCCTCCTCTTGCAGTGCGCTCCGTTAGCTCACGCCTCGCCTCGAGCTTGTCCCAGGTTGACATGTACCCTCCAGCTCTCCGCTTGCGGACGATGGGTTGCTGAGTCCGAGTTGTCGGGCCGACTTCTTTGGCACCACCCTGCGTTTCTTTGGAACAGAGCTGGTCAGTTCTTCTTCAAAGCCCGGGCTCCATGCTTGCTTGTCGGCACTCCCTGTGCCGTCTTCTTCTTCGGCGCTATCGACCGCCGCATCCGACGCTGTTGCCGATGATTCGCCTCTGAGTGTGGACCAGTCAACGCCTGCAGAACCTTAGCCTGATGATGGGTCCACTACCTCACCGGGTTGTGGCAGCTCGGGCAGATCCATGAAGCCCGTGTTTAGTTCCCAAAAAAAAAAGTTCCAAAAAGTGCTACAGTAGCCATCACATCGAATCTTACGATACGTGCATGGAGCATTAAATGTAGACGAAAAAAAACTAATTGCACAGTTTGGTTGGAAATCACGAGACGAATGTTTTGAGCCTAATTAGTTCATGATTGAACACTAATTGCCAAATAAAAACGAAAAGTGCTACAGTAGCCAAATTCCAACTTTCCCCCAAACTAAACACGGGCGAAATTGCGGCCGAGTTCCTACCCAAACAGTTGACATGGTAGACTACTTCAGCTTTCAACTCAGTACAAGTATGAAAGGATAGTAAATTTTTTCCAATCGGACTATACTTACCGCAACCGGAGGGTTCGCAGCGCTAAACTAGTCAAGGATGGGCGACATCTTCTTCACGCATGGCAAGAACTTATTGAGGTGAGCAAGTATCACCGCATCACTCAATACAACCTTTATCAGCCGATTTGGATCCTCTACACCGGCGTACTTGAATCCATAGTGTACCCGCTCCTGCAGCGGTTGGATTCTCCGTCTAAGGAAGCTGGCGGCGACTACTACCACAGTCAGTCCTTCTTCCTTCAATGTGTTGAGGAAGATTTGGAATTTCTCCTTCTCTTCTACGGATATGGTCGCCGACACTTCTTGTTGGCATCTGAGAGCTTGTATTCAAAGAACTCTTCTTTCATCAATGAGCGTAGCTAGAAGCCGGCGCCGCCGACTATGCTCGGAGATGCCTCACTAGGTTGGGGCTTTAGTCGGAAGAAATAACGGAAGAGGGTGAAGGAAGGAGGAATTCCAAGGAAGGCTTCGCAAGTATGAACAAAAATGGAAATCTGAGCTATGGAGTTGGGATTCAAATGAGTAAGGGTGATGCCATAGTAATACATCAACCCCCAAAGAAAGTGGGAAGCAGGGAGACCAAAACCGTGTTCAAAAAAGGAAGTGAAAACCACGATCTCACCCGTGGCTAGAGCCGGAAGGCAATGCAATCCCGGTGGATTCCATTCACCGAGTTCCTTACTCGACAAGAAGCCCGCTTCCGATAGGTTCAACAGATCCGCCTCCGTTGTGGTGGGCACATCCCATGCGGAGAAGGCATTCGACTCCATCATCTCTTTTTGCTTCATCGCCCTCTTCTTTCGCTCCTCCGCCTGCATCGCACCTATGGCCTTACTACCTTTCTTCACCATTGTGCAGATGGCAGGGTGCGCTTCACTCGCATACAGTTTGCGGGCGCTCGGGTTAGGGATTGGCGGCGACAGCCCAAGGACTTGGCAGTGTGAGGATGGCGATTAGGGTTCATTGATGGCGGAATAGAAAGCAAATGGGAAAGTGAATTGGTATTTACCTGATTACTGCTTATTTATAAGGGTACCAAGATTTACCTTCAGCACAAAGTAGCCGTTGAGAACCCAAATGGTAAGATCCTTTTTAAACGTTGTGGGTCCAACGGACACAATCTCGGCCACACAGAAATTGATGGGCTGATAGCCATCAATTATGTGGCAGCCACAGTCGTAATATGCCCATTATGCGAACGGATTTACTACCATGTGTTTAATTGGGGAGAGTTTTCATTCAGATTACCATCAATCATGCAGTGACAGTCTACTATTTAGACTTTCTCGGAGGCATCAGTTCCTCAAATTCATTATCTATCAGATACAATGAAGGTTTCCAGTCAGCCAAGCTAAGACTTCAGCTATAGCTAAAGAGGTTTGTCAGCTTAGACAAGATTTCAAAATAGAGTCATAACTCGGCTTTTGACTTAGTCAACATTCAAATACAAAGCCACGGTTTAGTTGGCACTAAGCTCGAGGGATCTTTCAAGGCCACGGCTTAGTCATGTCTGCTTCGACTAAGCACGAGGGCTAGAAAACAGGAAGATTTTCAAGCTTTATTCATATGAAGATATGGGTTAGAAGTGTTACAAGTACATTGCCTAGTTGGCCATCAACAGATACAAAATACTATACGTGTTACCCGAGTGGCAACACTAACCTTGATGCACATTGCATCAAGGTCTGAGTAAGGCAGAGCAAAACTTCCTAGTCTACATCTTTAGGAAGCATGAGAAGCTAAGAGTTCTTCTAGTTGCAAGACAAGACTTTGGTCTCAACTACTCTGACTAAGCCCAGGCGGTGCGAAGACAAAGCTGGCAGAGGATAAGGATTCTCTCTATTGAACGCCATGTGACCCAAAGCAATTAACCACTCATGGACAAATGGTCCTCGATTGTCCTAAGTAGGTTACTCGACTGCACCCTTGAGGATATCTCAAAGATCTTATAATCGACTCTGGGTAGTAAGTTTTAGGCTTGAGGGCTACGGGATATATCATCAGCTGATGCATTCAAATTTCTTTGAAAGGAAGTGGGTACAGAAAAGACCCTCCAACTCTTTATGCTAAACAGTAAGAGGTTTGAGGGCTACATGTAGTGAGTGCGCTTTGCAAAAACCGCATGTCACTCGAAGACTTGAAGAGCACCTCATGGCT